TCTTCCTGGGAAGCTCTGCTGGCTGAGAAACCAGGAGACAGCGTGAGAAGACAGAAGCTATCAGGGGCACTCTATAGGCAGCTGCTGACTCTATAGTAAGTCTTCTGAGTCCAGTAAAGGAGACTCAAGTCTTCTGAGAGGCCCGCTCTAAGGCACGTCTGTGTATAGCTGAACATTTTCAATATATAATTATCGCATCCTGGGGTGGCACTGTAGGATCAGCACTAGACTGTGAACCACACGGTCAACAGTTCAAACCCAACTGCTGCCCCTTGGAAACCTTATATAGGATTGCTATGAGTCAAAACCTATTGACTGCACTTAACAACAACAAATCGCATTTAATGTTCATAAGGACGGAAGGGGTAAGGCAGTATCATCAGTGTTGTGCCCATTTTATGGATAACAAGACTGATTCATGGAGATTCCATAGTGTCATCAAAGTAGTATATGATTTAATCTTCCTTCCCAGCATGTTTAGGTAGAGAAATTTTAGCATTTCTATGGTCTGATTTCCCATCCAAAAAAATTTCTGCGAGAAATGATCAATTTGGGGGACTTTAGAATTCAGTGGTTAGAGGACCTCACCCCTGGTACCAAGGATTAGAGAGGGTCTGTATCCATGGCAACCTGACTCACAGTGAATGGGAAAGAGGAGAGATTGGAACATTACCTCTTGATGTAGCATCTCTAGTACTTTGGTTGAATCCTTGGTGTGGCTTCAAAACAGAAATGTTAGAATGTAAATTTCATTTTATACAAATTTCTTTTCATTGCCACCAATTGGTTATCAACAGATCTCCTGAAGAAAGTCTATAAACATTTTCTATTCATTTTGTTTTTGGAATTTCTCATACATTCCTAAACTGTCCTTTCCCCCCTCTATCTGCCTACTATGCTCATTTCTGTGCATATTTCTAACTCACTCTGAGGCTCTTCCCAACTCCATGCCTCCCACCCCATTTCCAGGAGACTTTTCTTGGCTACTTATGTTGACACAGCAGTGTGGATGGTGCAGTGGGCTGGCTTTCTAATGGGAAAGTTGGCAGTTCAAACCCACCAGTCGCATCACAGGAGAAAGACAACCTGCTTCTATGAAGCTTTTTAGCCTCAGAAACCCAATGGAACAGTTTGAGCCTGTCCTGTAGGCCTGGTGAGATTTCTAATCTACTTCATTCACATCTTTGGGTTTCATTTGCTTTTTGCAGGATGCACGGAAGAAAGAGTGGAACAGATTAAAGGTGTGTGGTGCCATTAGCCAAAGGCGTCTTAAAGAACCAAAAGTAGAAATTCAACTCCAACTGTGAGGTAAGGAAGATAGTTACATTTCCCATCTTTGAGGTTCAACCCTTATCAGGTAGAGATGTTCTTGGCTGCATGGAAGGTTGGTAAGGAGTTGTTTCTAGACACTAAAAAGTCAACGACTATCCAAGATTAACTGAACCTTTTAAATTAATAATTCTGAGGTAGGGAGGATAAGGAGAGAAACAATGAGTTTAAGAGCTTCTTGTCTAAGACTTAATAGTTCAGTAGTGTTGAAAGAACCAACAATGCGAAAACCTGCCTACCTGGGAGGTCATAAAGATAGGCAGATTTCACATCTTTGAGGCTCAGCTCCCATCAGGTAGAGATGGGCTTGGCTTGTCACCTAGAGCATGCTACATGAA